GCTCATAATTTCTCAACATGTGCCAGCATGTTTCTCCGTGCTCATAACTTTATCCAATGTATTCCAGCGTTTTTTTGCCAGATTTTTCATACATCAGGCATATGCTGGTCTAAACTGTCACGGTGTGACAGCGACTAGACCAGTGGTGGTTAATTCCAGTTCCTTAGGGCTGATATCCTGCAACCTTTAGGCTACGTTCACACTGCAGCCTGAAGTGACCCAAATAGGATTTTTTGGCCCATATGCGACCTGGATCTGATCTTTTCATGGCGGTCTGAACAACACAGATCCGATTTTTTCCAATCTGACCCAGGCCGCTTGGCTATGTGGTCCTCAATCTGATACGAATCTGATCTTTTCAAATGCGACCTGTGTGTGAACGGCCAGGTCGCATTTATCTGACTTCAACGCCATTAATACCCGACTAAGGTCACTATTCTGGGTCTTGGTATGAAGAAGGGGCAAGAAAAACAACAACCATGGCAGATGATGATGCTGAGAGCAGTATTTATGATTAACCATATTGAAAAGGTTGTTTTATGGTTGGAAACGTAGCCTTAGATGCGTCTTTGGTTCAACACACCTGAATCAAATAATTAGATGGACTCAGGAGGAACTGACTGCACACTGAGGAGGTAACTCAGCTATTTGAATCGGGTGTGTTGGACCAAAAATGGATCTAAATGTTGCAGCATACCGTTCCCCAAGAACCAGACACTTCTAGTTCTGATGCAACCCGTTTGAACTGCGTCCACCTTGAACGCTGTTAAATAAATCGCTCTTTTCACACAAATTCTGTTTCCGCTGAGAAAAAATACTTTATTTAAAGTTTTTGGCCTGCAGGTTCTTCGAAAAGCTCTCAAAAAATAAAAATATTTACATTAGAAATATCCCAGAATGAGCTGCAGGTTCGCTGGAACCATGAAGTGTTTTTGATGTTCCGGGTGGCGGTTTGTCTCACTGAGTTTTCAGTTTTTCTACAAACAGCGTCATCGCCACTCCGTACAGGAGCGCCCCCGTCAGGAGCAGGGCCGTGCTGGAGAGGGGCCCGAATGACAGCAGGGCCCCCAGCGCGTAGAAGAGGAGCAGCAGCAGCAGCGTCCTGTAGCTGGCCAGCGGGCGCAGGCTGAGCCGCGGCTGCAGGCTTCGCTCCAGAGTCCGCCGGGACATCGGGCTCCGCTTCAACCGGACCGAGGGCTCCGGTTCCGTTAGGAAGCGGCGGCCGAGGCGACCCAGGAAGTCTGAGCGCGAGCACAGAGCGCTCATGTGGGCTTGGAACTGCAATCAGAGAGCAGAACGGGATTATCTAATTAATCAGTCTTCATCCACGGTTCCTACAACAGAAGGCAAGTTCAATTCAAGACTTTTTAAGACTTTTTTTGTTCCTTGAAACAAAACTTTAAGACCAAGTTCACAATAAAGTGGAAATGTTTACAATTTTGAAAAACTTTCCATATAGGAAGAAAGTAGTGATGTTATGAGCCGAGGCTTCGAAGCGCGTGTCGAAGCGTGATTCATTTAGAGGAAGGGCCAAAATTGACGACGTCCGAGGCCTCGCTACCTTGCCATGTGACCGCTTCAGGAAGCGCAAGAATTTTGAGAGGCATCTAAACAGCCTCAGTGTTCAGTCAAGATGATGGAGTTTGGAGGAGAGCTGCTGTCAGCTGGATAGAGTTTGGATAGATTCTAAGAATAGATTGGTTGTTTTTCCAACCAATCTAGTTGCTTAAAGCTAATTTGGTTAGAATAAACAATGTAATGATCAAAATTTGAGGAAACCACCAGACAAAGCCACTGTTAACACATCAGTATTTACAAGTATTTTCTCCTATCCATTGCTATCTACATAGGTGGCGTCATCTGTAAGAGACAGACTGCAACTCTAGAGGCTGATATTCATGACCCGTCTTTGATTTTTAAAAGTTGCGATTAAACTTAATTATTTTGGCTGATGAGACTAATTTGTACGGAAGAGTATTAGGGCCACTGGAAAAAAAAAGTTAACTGATTTTTAAATTTTATTTCAGTGTAGTATGGGAAAAAAAAGTCAGAATTCTGACTTTAATCTCATAATTCTGACTGATTTCTGACAATAAAAAAAGTCAGAATTCTTAAATTAAAGTCAGAATTTGGAGATTAAAGACAGAATTCTGAGAAAAAAAATCAGAATTCTGATTTCTTCCCCATACTAAACTGAAATAAAATTTAAAAATCAGTTAACCTTTTTTTTTTCCAGTGGCCCTAATACTCTTCCGTAAATTTGCATTGTTTTGCCCGAGTGAAAACATAGATTGGGTAAATTAGGTCGGTTTAGCCAAAAGATTGATTAAACATAACTTCCAACCTGATTAAAACCAACAAACGTGGAAAAACTATCATGTTTGAATAAAAATGACTAACA